ATCTAAAGTTTTCCAGAGGAACACTTTCACATGCACTTAAATTTTAAAGCATTGATGTTTAGACTTCATAGAAAAAATGGTTTTCTAAACAAACATTCTACTGAAAATTTGAAAATAGCTAACTCATTGACTGGTGTGAAAAAAATCACAAACAAATTAAATTTTAGAATTTGAGCTCAATTAAGTCTTCCGACATCAGTTTTTTTTCAGATCGTAAGAAAACTGCTATCAAAACCGGTTAATTGAGAAACTGATATGTGAAAATCTGGCTAATTGAATAAACATCAGGTAAAAATAAATTTTTAGTCCATTTCTTCAAAATTTGAAGCACAATTAATTTTTTTTTGAGATCGTAGTCTGCCTTTGGATACCCGATTCTTATGCTATTCCTATTTGTTTCTGAGTACTGCGCAAGATGCTTATACTCTCTACTCATCAAATATACTGCCTTTTTTGTTCTTGCCTTATGCCCGCATGATCAAAAATGGGATCTAGGAGTGAACACTAGCCGTTTGAATTAACTAACATAAGGTCCAGTGGTGTGGGCAGAAAATTGGTTTACCAAACTAAATTTCCGAGTTCCCCTAAACACATCTAAGTACCTACTTTAAAAAATCATGTGCCGCAGGCAACCCGTAGTGACAAAAATGAAAAAAAAAAAAGTCTATTATCATTAGAAAAAATACATTTTTTTTGTAAGTTTATATAGTAAAACTTCGATTATGTACTTTTAATAATCGATTATAATACATTTTGTTATGCAAAAATTTCATTCTGTATATCTTCATTATTTAATCATTGCCAAAACACGCAAAAACTGTTTTTTCTCTATCAAATTTTATGCATGCTATAAACAAATTATATGCACATTATCGACAGATTATATACAGTTTTTATACAGACTATAAACATATTATAAAACATTATATACCGATTTTCTCAACACTTTCGCCCTCAGATAAAATGAGTTTTATGAAATAAAATTATAATGGATGCTTTTTACTCAATTTTTTTTACAGAAAAAAAAAGGATTCTATCTATCGTGCGCAAAATGGTTGTAGCAAAATTGACTCTATACTTACATTAATCTGTAAATTTTTCTGTACAGTATCAATTTTTATCCGTTTTTGTCACTGCGGGAAACTATTGAAAGACAGGTTAAAAATGTGGCGCTAAGGCAGTTTTTGAAAAAATCGTGTTTTTTGGCGCGCGCTCCCTCTTTAAATTCAGAGCATATTAGCGCCGAAAGCACAAAAATCAGAGTCGTTCAACATATAAGTGGTGGTGTAATATAGTGGTAACGGGGGCCCTCTTCAAAAATTTGTCAATTATAATTGAGGGGGCCATTGCTGAATTAGAACGCTTTTAATGAGAATGAGAACTAAATTAGAACTGTTTTAGAACGTTAACATTAATAATTATCTCCAACGAAGGCACCAAAAAACTCTGCAGCTGAAGGCGAAAAAAAAGGAAAAAAAGTTGGTTACTTCTAAATATCTCAACTGAATCGATTCAATCAATTAGCATAAACTCAGTTTAGAAAAAGGAATCTAAAAAATTTGACATCTGCACGCTATGAAAAAACTCTGTAATATAATGAAACTTTCAATAAATGCACTATAGTGAAATATATACATGCACCAGATGCAATTAAATTTGCAAATGCAATCAAATGCAACACTAATTTTTTGTTACAGCTTAGTTTTAACTTTGCCAAAAAAAAAGAAAAATACCGTAATTTTTTGAACTTATAAATATCTATCTATATCTTAACTTATGCAATCATTTGATGGTTATGGACCTTGGTATAAAATCGCTAATATTTTAAGCACCGGTTGATTATTTCTCAAACTACGTAGTTGTTATGAAAAGGGAGAGTTATTTTGTTTCTCTAGTTATTAGTGAATATGACCTAGACGTCACTTTATTGCCCGAACTATGTTCCTTTGGGTGAAAATGCTCTATCTTTCATGTGTATTGTGTACCAATATTAAATTTTCCTTAAACTGAATCAAACTTCCGAGAATTATCAATTACTTGCTGTAATTTGAATCTAAATAGTGTTTCAGAAAATAAAATGTTCAGATAAAGTTACATACTTCCGTCAAATGCTTTTAAAGTTAACATCTTTGGGCGTTGAAGGAGCGTCAAAATAATTAAATTTGAAAGAAGTACATTTAGAGCGACCCGAAAATAGTAATGGTTTTTTCTCTCTTTTCTCAGGGAGCTTTTAAGCCTCAGGGTAAGTGGCTAAAAATATATCCGAATTCAATAAAAACAGGACATTGTTTGTATCAGGACATTGCCCTGTTGTTGCGACAGCGCTTCAAAATCTATAAACTAGTAACTATAGTCAGTGACGGATCTAGGATTTTCTCGAGGGAAGATTTTCAAAAAAAAATGGAAAAATTTGTCTACTTCTTCTAAGGTTGACCAAGTTCATTTTCCGACCGAGGGCGAATATGACCGAGGGCGAATTCTTAAAAAAACAGGTCAAAAACGCGTTTTTAGGCACTTTTGGACAGTTTTGACCTACACATCGCGTTTTTTTGAGGCGTGCTCTCCCCTCAGGCGCCGAATATATTGGCGCCGAAGGCAAACTTTACTAACATTTTAGGGCCAGCCAGCTCAAACTGGAGACCATGAAACAGTACTAAAGGGCGGCAGTCTTTTGGGTAATCAGGGGTCGAATCCTTGAGTGCAGGCGTCAGCTCAGTATTGATGGTTGTCCAAAAAGCATAGTATTTGCTCCTAGAAATTTTTATTCAATGAAACAATGGTTGCAGTTAAGAGCTTTTTTGGGGCAGATATGGTTAAAAAGTTCTAAATAAAGATCTTTAATGATTTTCATCTCTAAGTTTCATCTCCACGGGCTTCGTAAATTAAGGTTTCTTATTTGTGTCTTGTAACGTATTAAAATAATCAAATTGCTTAGCTCAATTCATGTTGGAATGATTTAGACGGCTGCTTGCGCTTTATTAGGACAAAATACATCGCTGGTTAACAATCCTAAACTAATTTACAGTGGTCGCAAAATAGTTTTTTTGAAACAATGACAAAAATGAAAGTTTTGTTGCTCCAATTTTCAAACAAATGCTGAAAATTTATGCTCGGCGTATTTTTCGAATTTTCGAGTACGCATTTTTGAATTTTTTTTTGAAATATATATATGAAAGAAAATGTTGTTTGGAGCTCAATTATAAAGCGTTTCATCTGTGATTAGGTCTTACAATGTTATAAGGGCTCGAATTTGGGACTTATTTGACGATTACAAATCAAAATGGGATACTTAGCGAGCGATATATTTCAATCTTTTAAAGCGTAAGCGAGCGGTCGGGTCGAATTATTCCTTCAATTTGAACTGAGCCAAGCAATTCGCAATTCACTTTTTTATTACGTTATGAGATGCAAAATATAACATTTGTTACCTAATATAACTTGTGAGGGGATAAAAAAGGATTTTTTTCTTGTAAATATTCAAAAAAGTTTCAATTTAATGATTTCTTAAACAAAAAACTTGTGATCGACAAAAGAGTTAGTCGGAAGGCTCGAGGCTTAGCCTTGATATACGAGCAGCCTTTTTGTTGATTTTGAATTCACGGTGTTGCTAATTTTTGCTTTGTAAAAAATTTCTTCAAATTGCCTGTTAGAAAATCGCGATCTTGCTAAGTATTTCCACTTAAATAACTTCCAATCTATGAAACGCCAAGATTAAGCGTATCGAAATTCGCACTTTTTTGCCAATTTTCCTCAATCGCAAACAAAAACTGATTTTGTCTGCAGAAAAAAAATTACACTCAACTCAAATATTTTTCAAAATTTGGAGCAAAAAACTCCAAAACTGTTTCAAAAATGATTGAATTAACATTTTTGGCATATTTTACGGAAAAACTGGAAAGTTTTGGTTTTGCTATTTAAAGATCGTGTTGAAATACAGCAGTCGAAATATATATATTTTTTAAAATAATTTTAACCAAAAAAAACCTGTTGAAATGCTATGCTTTGACAAAAAGATCGAGCAACTTATACCCTCAAGAACTTCTTCCTAAAACAATATATTTAAGCAATCAATTGTTTTACGAATGTGTAGAAAATAAATTCCCCGTTGCTGCTCTGCGATTAAATTGAAACGTGATTTTTTATCCATATCCCGTCTGTTTTCCTTCCTCCCTGCTGCAAAAGTTTCAAATAGTTTTTTGATCGCATTGTCTGATTGCTACAAAATTTGTTAATAAGGACTAATTAGCCATGAAAACATATTTGGTATGCAAATTTAACCTTGTAAAACCCTTCGTTACACCATAAAACATGCATATGCCCCTCCTCCTAGGTCCCTCCTCCAATTTTCAGATTGTTACCTAGTACAATATTTGTATATACATAGCCGATGATGTAGTAGATTAGTAGTCGTTGGTTGAAGATTCTTACCTAGCAGGTAGCAGAATATGAACCCTTCGCGAGATCCAAAAACATGCACTAAATATATATTTTATACCAGCTCTTTTTGATATTGCGATTTTGATTCAGTCAATCTGCACTATGTGGGTTAATCCCTAAGAAATCAAAAAAATCAAGCGAAGCAAAGTTTGTCTTTTTTTCACTGGTTTGTGACTTAGCTTCTAAAATGAAAACTGACAAAATGAGCATTTGGTATATTCAGACTTTGTCGTTTCGGCTTAGCTTTTGCGGAATTGTGTTTTGGATGTGTTTATTTTGAAAATGTACAGTGGTGGGTAGTAACTCAGTGAGAATTTTTGAAAAAGTTTTATTAAGAAAAAAAACTTTGAGGGAGTAATAAAAAATACTAATTCGATTAAGTGAACAAGCTAAGACGCTTATTTCAACTCTGATATTCTGAGGGCAAAGTCCCGGTCGTTCTAAGCCTTTTCGTTTTGTCATTTTTTGAGTTTTAGAAAAGTTGTTTGATAACTTATTGAAAACTAAACGCAGGATGAATAAAAATGAGGATGGGACTATTAAATCTGACAAATCACAGCTCTCGAGCGCTACTTCGTCATTCGGAAACCCATGAGCCGAGGATCCGACAACGTTATGTGTGTGAACAGCGGGGAATTGTGGAAAAACAAGCACTTCCTCCGAACAATTGCAGTAGTCAGCTGGATGTTCTGTTTCGGGAGTAATATCGTGTTTTACTTCATGTATGCAGTTAGTATTCCTCAGTTTGTGACCATATTGGGAAAGAAGTTCCAAGCCGAGTTGTGTCAAAATCACTGGAGGACTAATTATGACTTCATGCAACCAATTGCCAAAGCACTGCTGCAAATACACTTCTGGTCTGTATAGTTATTCTGGGGTCTTTTCTCGGCTCTTTGACCTTATAGCGAGTCGAGTCTGGAAACAAAATAACTATAGCCCCTCCACACTTTATTTTAAATAAAATGGAGGTGCTAAAATTAATGAAAGGCTCCTTCTCTTGGCTCCCCCGTCCCCTAAAATTGAATTAGTTTTAGCCCTAACCTATTACTTGCGTGATTCCAATTAAAATTTTGAAGTTGAATTATTGAGGATGCATAGCAGAAAAAAAATATTTGGATTAATAAAATCTTAATTTTTGCAAAAGCAAAAAGTTTTAAAATTAAATGAAATGAGAGCTCTTTTTACTTTGCCTCGTACATGCGGACATTTTAGGCTATGCTTAAACTATTGAATGTTCATAATTAACGTGATAAAACCACTCGCGACACCATGAAATTGATGCTCATATGATAACAAGACTAATCGTATCAAGGCGAAGTCCTGAATGTTGCGACTGCCTTTTAAGGTTTATGGAGCAGTATTAAAACAAAAAAAAATGTAATAAAAATAAAACGAAATTTTTTTTTATGAATTCATCCCCCCACACGCCATATAAAGTACAGGAGAATAGATTTTGCTCATTGTAACAAGTCATTATGGCAAATAAGCGTCTTTCAACCAATTTGGAACGATTTCTGAGACGGATTAAATTTCCGCTTACGCGTTAATAGCGCGAAATATATCGCGCGTTAATTGTCCCAAATTGGCCGAAATGGCAATCTTTAAACCCCCATAACTTTACGAAAAATGATCACAGGTGAAATATCTTTCCAAATTTAAGCTCAGGACACCAATACCTTTTGAATGATAAAAAAAAATTCATCAAAAATGGCTAGTTAAAAAATCGAAATTTATCTGAAGAAAAAAACTCACCCCTAGCATAAAAATTCTGTTATTTTCGTATCGAAAGTCGGAACAATAATAATAAATTGTTACCAAGTGAAGTCATTACAAAAACGGAATTACAAATTAAGAAATATGATACAAAAACGTCACTTGAGAGAGCGCCATTAGACTACATTAAGCCTGTTTGATGATATGATGTGAGAAGTTGACATTGAAAAGGAACCAAAATAGAGCATCGAAACTTTCTTGGAGAAAAGTTTTTGATGCTTACTAGCACATTTGGTTCTCTTTATGCTCTGACTGTTATGTTTTGAGAGCAAAAAGATAATTTTGCCAGAATAGTAGCCCGCACTCATTAAAAAGAGAAAATAATGGATTATATTATAATTATAATTGTACTTTTAGCAAAATTATAATGAAATATAAGCGCCAATTTTAGATGTTTAAAAGATTTATGATCCATTATAATAATCAAATTTTTGGTGACTTTTCAATAGTTTATAATCAATTATAATTGATTTTAATTTTTCCGAAAATCTCTTATATTCTCTTATAATATCTTATAAACTATTATAATCTATTATAATTGATTGTAAACCCTTTCTCCATCAAAATATTATTTCACAAAAAAAAATCAGCTAGAAGGGATAATAAGTTAGCTACTCTACATGAAAACTAAAAAGAAGTAAGAAATCAGTAAACAAAAAACAGTAAGAAAGTAAACAGTAAATATTTTAATTTGTTACTGTTTACCGTTTACTGTTTGCTTGGTGTCTATAAGAAAAGATACCAACTGAAAAGCACGCAAACAAAACAAAATGAAGCGATGACGTTTGTTGAATAAAAACAGATTATCCTCGATTAAAAATAGTAACATTATAATCTATTTTTAATCGATTATAATCGATTCTTTTTGAAATTTATGGATAATGACCTTAAAAATACATTTAAATCTATTATTTTCTCTTTTTACTGAGTACGGGAGTCCTATTTTTTTTAACCTCCGGCGCCTCATACGAGCACCATTTTTATGATGTAACGAGTGATTATGAAGTCAATTAGGTTTGCCGTGGCCTAACTAGTCTGTTTATCAATTTTCATAATAATCGAAGGCTATTTTTTGCTCTTTTCCCCCCACCGCACTTAAGCATCAATTTCATGGAGTAAGGTTGGGCTTTCTAAGGTTAAGCATGAAGGCCAAATATGTTTTTTTATTGCCTAGGTAGCTCGCATACCAATTTTCAATTAGAAATTGTAATCAAAAACCCTGTGTAAAAGTTTGCACTTGGGGGAAAGGGAAAAGAGCCCAATTTATTCATGTGAAGTTACTTTTACTTGCAAAATTTCACAAGTGGGAGGGGAAGGAAATTTTATTTGTAAAGTGTCACAAGTGGGAAGGGAGGAAGAAAAAGAAAAAAGACCCAATATTAGGAAAACAATTTTAGAAAACCGTTTCATAAATTAGGTTCATACTGCTACTTTTTACTCCCATACTACGGCGTTTTTATTCACTGGCCTGCATTTTTGTTAAGTATTTTTTTTCACGCTCTCGGGTGCCATGAAAATAAGCATGCGGAATAATTAGGCTGTGATAAGTATGTTTGCTTGTCATACGTAACCTTATAAGGGTTAAGGCAGAGTTGCTAGTGCTTGGGTTGATTTTTTTAGAGAAAAAAAATCTGGAAAAAAGTGCTTCATTGTTCTTGAAAGTTCAATCATCTTTCAACGAAAAATTATTAAAAAGGTCCAAAAATTATTAAATTGTTTTTCTTTTGTTTTTTTTTCTTTTTGTTTGATTGTTCCGACAAAATTTTAACAAGTTTAAAGACTTGCCTTTGGAATCCAGGAACATACAGACACAAAATTGTGCGCCTATCCACCCGGGTTGACCAAAAATGCTACTCAACTCATAATACAATTTTCATATATGAAAAAATGCTAACCATACACTTTTCATGCAATTCCATAAGTACAGAAAACTGCTTGAAAGGTCTATGGTTAGTGATTTTTCATTTATGGAAATTGTTTTACTAGCATTTTTCCATAAACCAAAATTATTGATTTCTTTTAATTTAACTTCTCAAAATTTTTTGGTTGTGTACGTAACCGAACATAAGTGACAAAAACATTGGTTTCTGAAACGTAGAGTTTGACCGTCGCGCATTAAAAACGCCTTGGAAATGGCCTGAAATGTCCTAATTCTGTCTTACACAAATGATATAACGAAACTATCAAACTTTTAAACATTGGCAAAAATTTTCAACGATGAATTTTTTAAAATTAGAAATTTTAAAATATCAGACATTGAGCAAGGCATGCATAAACATGCAATACAAATGAAAGAGGAATTTTTAGCGTTTTTGAAAAAAAGTTTTTCAGCGAAAAGGAAGAAAACTCAATATTAGAGTATCCAGGACTACGTTATACACAAAAAAAATTAAATTTTGCTTAGAATTTTTTTTTGAAAAATGTTTGTTCGAGTACAAATTCGACTCGCGGTTGAAAAAAAAATACAAAAAATATTTCAGGGCCAATTTAAAAATTACTTTGAAAATTTTTTGTTGTCGCCATCAAAAAAATACTAGTCATACAATTTCCATACATGGAAATTGTAAGATAAGCATTTTTTTGACAAAAAGTTTTTCTTTTTTATTTATTACGATACATCGAATTTTATGCCAAAACAAGAAAAAATTTCTTCGAAAATTCTATGCCACCATTTTAGCAAAATGTATGAAATTTGTATGACTAGTATTTTTTCATGGACTTAGTTTATGGAATTGTATGATTAGCATTTTTGGTCTATGAAGATTAACCTGGGCAGTGCACAGTTTGGCCTCGTATCGACAGTTTTGTTTAGCTCCATTTTGCAAGCAATTAAGTTCCTCTTTTTATAATTCAAAATTGGATAATTCAGCTTCTTTTAGGTACCAACTCCTGGCGTATTACCTCATACCTTTAATTGTGATTGGGACAACATACGCTCTCATCATACGCAAGCTTTATAAGGTTAGAAATGTTGCTTTTTCGCCTTCGCCCCTAAAAACTACTGCTGAAAAATAACTTCAGGTTTCTCTCTCTCTCTCTCTCTCTCTCTCTCTCTATCTATCTATCTATCTCTTGAAATGTTCTTTCGATACTAGTATCGATACATAACATTTTGAATTGATATTGGTGTGCACTCGTGTTTACGTCTACAAGAAACAGGATTCTTGAATTCATTTCAGGCCAAAATGGACAAAGCACTCTGTCAAGATACTGTTCGCAACACCGCTGGAGGAGCGAGTGGCAATCAGAAGGAGTGCGGCGGAAGGCAAACGTCCAATGGTAAGGTTATGATGTAAGGTTCTCCCATGACTTCCCAATTGCTAATGATTGCAAAATTCCATCGCAAAAAACACGTCCTTGAGTTGCAAAGAAACTTTGCTCAACAAATTAATTTCGTCTGCAATGTGCTAAATGTAATTATACAGAACTTCATTGTAAAACAGATTTTGACCAGAAGACTTGACAAGATGACTCTTATCAGGGTGAAGCCCTGAAAGATTCGAGTGCCCTTTGACGCCCATAAATTTGTGTTCAATTTAAGAAAAGTGATAAACTATTTAGAAAAAGGTGAACATTTTCAAAAAAAAAAAATTAATGTATTTTTTAAGAAAAAGGTGTTTTTAGCTTTTAGTAACGTAGTAATTAGAACAATAACTGGATTCTCAAGTTGCGTTATTTGTATAAAATAAAAAACAAGTAGATAAATTTGAAAAGGCCAACGGTTTTTTTCGTTGAAATTCGGAAGTTTTTTTTTCGAGATTTTTTTCATAAATCGCGTTAGTCTTTTTTGTCTACTTCCTTCAATCACTCTGCTCCAATTGTCTGTCGAACACGAATTCAAATGAGGTTAGGTTTCTGCAAACGATCATGCCGAAGTGAGAGTTTTTCCCACTTCAAAATGAGTGCTGAATTATAATACCACGAATAAAGACTGCTAATTTATCTGGATAATTTTTTTCTACTGCATTTGAAGGCCCTTTGAAAAATTTTTGGTTAATTTTTTTTAAAGTTTTTGAAAAAACATTTGTTTATATTTTTCTCTGATTCGTTGTTCTCCTCAGGTGAATAACTGAGTTATGTATTATATACTGTACTCGTAGAGTAATTTCAAATAGGGTACACCGTCTGCTCGTCACGCTATCTTATTTTCGGCCGCATAGATTCGTGGAACTTCTTAGTCTAATATCGATCTTAATCTTACTCTTATACCTCCTAGTCTCAATAGATTTAGTGTACACCGGATTACGCGAGTTAGTTCCAGAATGAGAACAACTGTATTCTAAGTTTAATTCAAATTGTTCTGGCGTTGAAACTACAAGTAGTTTCAACACTTTACAAATAAGTGGGTTGTTAGTTTGATAGAGTATGATTGGTTAGTATTTAATATTTTATAGAGATAAAATATCAAAATAATATTCAAAGATAAATACTAGTTTAGATCTGGTTCCACCCATCCGGGGTTTAGAAAATTTTAGTTTTTCAATGTTCTTTAATGTAGTGTAGAATGGATAATGGTGATTTTTCTTTGGAGGTTGCGAGCATACTCTTTTTTCTGGTTTGGAAGAAGAGTTGTCATCACAATCGTTTCGGGAGATCGTATCATGATTTCTGATCAGTTGTGATGAGGTTGATCTGCTAGATAGGAACATTGCTATTCTCAATCTTGTCTGGAAACGGCATGTAGTTCGGCTTTAGATGCAGTGCGTGGTGACTTGGATCTGTACGTGTACTTGAACATCGAGTTGGCCATTGTCCCATTGCAATGGAATTCGTTTGCTGCGATGCCAAGTCGTACTTCAAATTAATTGAGTGTCGTGATTGCAGGCAGCATGTCAGTCGGGTTTTGCCATTCCATAGTTGGAGTGTGATTGGGTTGTCAAGCTCCCTTACTGCTCGTCTTTGGGCTGTATTTTATCTATATATTTCATTATATGATTTACATATATAAATCTTTATTAATCTTGTTTTTTATTCATGATCTTGTATTAGGTTTTATCGCAAAAGCGTTATTATTTAGTTCGGTTATTTTTAAGAGCTACTCACACTTGAGTAACTCCCGTCAAAATAATGTCGTGGTTGTCACAAAGCGTGGATGTAGCACGGTGGTTGAGGCCGGCTATAGAGCATGCTCAGGACGTCCTCTTCTGGTGGGTTAGGCCAGAAGTGAGGGTATAATTTCGTGCTCTCTTTTTGGAGGGTCCTGTTTTAGTTCAACCTTTCATGCTTTTTTTTATCACTCGTGTTTTCTTTTGATTTCTTTTTTATGTCTTTTTCTCAAAAATCAAATTGTTTGTTTTGGGTTTGTCTTTCGACTTTTTGCTGTTTTGTTCTTTTGTGTTCAGACTTAAAAGTAGTCTTCAAAAGAATAATTTATCTAGTTCTAAGCTGCTGTTAATCCAGTTTGGGTACCGTGGATTTTCTTTTCTCAGTCATGCTGTTAGGTTGTGGTTAATGGTGTTTAGTAAGCTTGCGTTGGTTATCTTGAACTATTATGTGATTCCATTCCAACCGCGTTAAAGGAAAGTTTGAAGTTTACTGCTTGAGTTGGGGGTTGAAATTATTAATTTATTTTCAATTGTATGAATATTTGCTGCATTAGGGAAAAGAATTTAAACAATAATTTACTGTTTTGTTCGGGGGATTTTTATTGCTTCAATTATTGAATGGGTTAATCGAAATTTATGAATTGATAAAAAGTTTCTGTTTTTTTATTTTGCTTTTTGTTTTGTAGATAATTGATGATTTTGCCTCTGAAGAAAAAAAAACATTGAATAAGACTGGTTAGGGTTGTTTGAATTTATTAGTTGAATATTGATTTCATATTACCTAATCGTCGGTGAAGAAAGCATGGGGAAAACATCGTGGATGATAGTGTCTTTAATACAATAGTTGAAGTTAAGACAAAATGGTGATGTGTATTTAAAGTTAATATAATGATATCGATGGTGAGGTTGTCGTGCTGGTGTATTGAGGGTGTAATGGCGTTGAATGAACTTGTAGTAAGTGTATGTGTGTGTTTGTTTAGTTCGTAACATGGCTTCGTGTGAACAGTGCAAATCACGTTCTTCGGGTGTGAGGAAATGAAAGGTTAGTGAAAAGCTGTTAAATTTGTTAAAATATCATAAGCATAAAAGTTTCGTAGTCCTGCTGAGATAACTTTGTCATACTTTTTATTTAAGATGTTGAGGGTGAAAGTGTATGGGGTCTTGAGTGAAGGTGTATGGGGTCTTGATTGAAGGTGTATGGGGTCTTGATGAAAAATTTTTCAGTTAGTTGGGGGTTAGCAAATGGGTCGTTATTTAGAAATAGTTCTTCATTAGGTCGAATGACGTTATGATTAAAATAATCGATAGGATAATCATTAAATTTAGCTGCTGTGAATTTGGTTAGTGATTGCCTGTATCCTATTTGCGTAAATTGTTTTGGGGTTAGTGCTGTTGTTAGAAGATAGAGTTGGGTGCTGCATACTTCATTATCATAAGGGGTGATTTATAGTGGTAGTGATAGTGGATTAGTAAAGTGGTAATAAAATGTCCATGTAAGTGTAGGGTATAAAACATGTTCCTTTGCATAATTGGTTTCTTCATCATTGGGGTCTGAATGGAAGTAAGTATATTGCGGAGAAAAGTGTAGACATATTTGGAGAAACTCTTTGGTATTAGTGCGAAGTGGATGATTGACAAATGTGGTGGATGTTCCTGGGTTAGATGGGAATGGGGTATTTGGGAATTTTTTTAAGGGTTCGGTAAGTGCGGTTGGTACTACATGATAGGTTTGATGAGGAAGTCGAGTTTTGGGAAGGTGTATAATTTGAAGAGGGGGTTGGGGTTGATGGGTTGGATGATGTTGTAGATCGTGAGAGTTGGTGAATAGTTAGTATTTGAGAGTGTTGTAATTGTTGTTGTAGTTTATGAAGTTATCAAGTTCATGTGATATTTGTGTGTTATCTTGGTCGTTGTTATCGGATGGCTCACTGGTTAAAAGGGAATATATGGGTGTAACATTTGAAATGGGAGAAGGAGGGGAAGGGGGTTCAATTTTGACTTGGGAATGGATGGGTTGAAAGGGAGGTTGGGAAATTGTAGATGGACTATGTTCAGAGTTGGCAATTTCGTCGGGTGTTTCGATATCGCAGTTGTTGAGTTGGGAGATAGTGTTATATACTGTGGTGTTGGAAATAGTATCTGATTTCATGCTGGATGAAGTGTTATGATGAGGTGACTGAGGTGGGGGGGAAAGCAAAAAGAGGGATGATGGGAAGGTTGTTCTGGACCTTGGCTGAGTGGGATATTGATCGATGGAGGGATCCAACTTGGCGGCTCATTGTGGGCCAAAAAGATGTTTGTTCTGAGAACGAAAATTAGTGGTATGTGGTTGTTCTATAATTTGTTCGTGTGTGTCGTCCATGTTGGGTTGTTGGGTTATTATGTGTCGAATCGGGCTTTGTGGATAATTTGAACTCGAAGTTATGAGGTCTGTTAGGGCGATATTTCTGAAATTTTGTGGTACTAATGATAGGGTGTGGTTATGGTTGAGGTTTTGCAATTGTGATGCTGTAGGTGTTGTATTTGTATCGTTTCGTGATTCGATATACGTGTTTGGTGTTGTTGATAGCTTGGTATTGCATTCTTTTATTTGAGCGTCTAAAAGAATTTTATTGATGGATGTTGAGAATATTCCAAAAAATCCTTCAAATAGTATGCGTGCTACGCTTGCTTGTCTGTTTACTTGTGTGGGTACAGCGCATGTTTTGTAGATTCCTTTTAAGAAGGAGAAAAGAAATCCAAGAAAATTAGACATTGCGTATAATATAGTCAACCTTTCTAAGATGTAATAGGGCCATCCTAGAAAGGCAAGAAGTTCGTTTTTTAAATTTACAAAACTAAAAATATTTTCTGGTGATATATCTTGTGGTCTGTATTTTTCGCCATTTAGGTAAATGTAATCTTTCATATCTTTAAAATATCCGCTATATTCTTGTGCCTATATGTCTGAAGAGCCTGCTGTTTCTGCAAGATTGCGTAAGTTTTGATCTATGGATTGTCGTTGTATTGTGTCCATTTTTGTGAATAATTCTCGAAATTGTTGTGTTCGAATGTGATGATGGATGTCAGATTTAGAATATATACCGATTGATTGTAAATCAATAATAGGGTTGCGTGCAATAGCTCTAATGCTTTCTGGTGAAAAATTTTTGAGTGGTTGCATGAGTGTAGGTTGAGGTATGAGAAGATAGTATTTTGTTTCGTCAGGGTTTAATTGTACTATATTGTGGCTGT